TGGATGGGTGGATGGATGGTTAAATGGATGGATGGATGGATGGATGGATGGTTAAATGGATGGATGGATGGGTGGTTGTGATCCATCTATCATCCATCCATCAGGTAGATGGACAGTTGTGTGTGCTCAGGTATTTACACGTAGGCGTGATAGATGAAGGCCCATCCTCGAGGTCTCTCCAGGACGTTGTACAGGAAGTTCTGTAGGCGTCTGTAGAGGGCGTTTCTCTTCGGAGGTTTCTTTCCTCCAGAGACGCTGCTGCGCTGCCGCCGCGGCCCCTCCTCCCCGCCTTGACACACAAAACAACACGTCCCACATTTTAACTTTCAAAATAACAAACACAAATTATTAAATATCAGTTTATCTTCTGCTTCTTATCACATCCTCCCATAAAAACATCCGTCATCTGCTGTGTTACAGGGTTCTACCTGGAACCTCCCCGGAACCTCCCCAGTTTATTATTTTAGCTTAGGGGAGGGGCTTACAGACACAAACATTTTTGGCAATTTTTCTTTCTCTTTAAGATTTTTTTGCCAATTTTGGCATCTTTTGTTTGCTTTTAAATCTTTGGATATCTTTTTTTGTACCAATGGTGGCTGATGTTCTTAAAAATCATTGGCCAGTTTTTTCTGGAATTTGTTTTGCCAATTTCTTTAAAAAGTTTATGGTGATTTTTTTTTAAGAAACATGCTGTCCCGCAGTGTCTGAACGTGTGAAACCTCAGTTTTAAACTTAAACATTAAAAGTTATGCTGTGAGTTTCTCTGATCAGGAGAAGAAAAAAAACATTTTCATATCGAACATCTTTCCTTTAATTAATTAAGTCACGAGGTCAGCAGCCAATCACAGGAAAGCACCTGTCTGATCTCCTCTAACCCGATTGGTCCAAATCTGCAGGTCATTTGGGCTGTTTCCATCCGGTTCTCATGTTTACATGACATCATCAGACACACAGACAGACCGACACACACACACACACACACACACACACACACACACACACACACACACACACCGTTAACGGTCCCGTTAATGACCGGCAGCTGTTTACCTGCCGCTATGAGCAGAGCTCCGTCCCTGCTGGACTCGGTTCCCCCGGCCTCCAGACCCACGAAGCCGACCTTCAGCTTCTTCTGGTCGGCCTGCGCTCCGGGGAACACCCCGCCGTTCCGGGATTTCTGCACCATGACGGAGAACCTGCACCGACCCGCTCAGCTACTGACAGCCCGCAGACAGAGAGCCGAGGCCGGCCAGGCCCGGCGGGAACATCGCTGCTGCGGAGGAGCAGAGGAGGACGAGGAGGAGAGAAGATGAAGAGGAGGAGGAGGAGGATGGAAGGATGGAGGAGGACAATCAACCCGCAGAGCGACACACAGCAGTTTGGCTGATCAGCAGCTTTTTCTTTTCCTCACCGACTTCCCGCACTAAAAGGAAGTGGAATGACGTCACTGACGGTTATTGATCAGCTCAGAAATAAAAAATAAAAAACAAGGCACGTGATCGATCTGGTCCCTGTGTGTGTGTGTGTGTGTGTGTGTGTGTGTGTGTGTGTGTGTGTCATACATCATCTCTGACAGTCACCATGGTAACCGGATAATCTGTAAGTGGTAACCATGACAACCGGAGGAGAGGCAGAGGGCAGGCTGTGATTGGCTCATTAAAATGTATAAAACATCAAAAATAAAATCAAACAAATAAAAATGTAAAATATAAACAAGAGTGTGACGTCATCAGAGGCTGATCAGGAGCCAATAAAGAGTTGATTCACAGATTTTATCCCCGCCTGTCACCTGACACACAGTTATTATAATAATTATATATTCATGATTATACAGTTAGTTCCGACCGAGTAATTTGATTGGACGAGGGCGTTCCATGAGTGCTGATATAGAGCCAGGGATGGGCAGTATTTCTATTACTTGTATTTAAAATACGTATTTCAGTTACATTTGAGTATTTTGTAATTTATATTTGATAAGGCCGATAAAAAGCAAATGTAATTTGTAACTAAATACTTTTGAGTGGAGTAATTTTGTATTTAAAATACTCAGAATACTTTCTCACAAAAACAAAAATAATAGGCTACACATTCTTGTAATAATAATAACAATAACAATAATAATAACAATAACAATAATAACAATAATAATAACAATATTTGTTACTTTTTTTTTAAAAATATTTTTATCTCTATGTTTTTTCAAACTCGGGCCCTTCAGTGACCTCATGCTCTGTTTCACTGGACTGTGCATAACATAGGAAACTGTATGTTGTTGTGGTTGATGCTTGGGATGAGTATGCTACAAATGAAATGCCTCACGTGGGATCAATAAAGTTGTCTGAATCTAAATCTGAATCAATAAATAATATTTTAGGGTAGCCTACATGTCCCCAGCTTTCTTTTCTCTTTGTCATTTGAAAGAGTTGAACACAGGGCTCCATGTTAGACAGCAAACAAGTGAACTAGCTACAGTATCTACAGTATCTTGCTGCTGTTCAGCTCGACTGTTGGTGTTAAGTCTGGTTAATAAATATATTTATACATAATCAAGTTGTTGTCTTTTAATGATTTTGCTTAGTTACACTTAGTTCTGTGACTGTTCACCAGAGCTTTGTGTTTATCCTACAGCCCAAACCTGAATACTCTACTTCACCAAACTGGGAGAAAACAAGCGCAAGTTTGCAATAGCTGCGACCAAATTTGCTGCTATCACGCCATTAATGGAAGAATCATGGTTGTTCTTTCTGGTATAGTTCCTCATGGTCTCTAGTTGCAGTATGCACATTTTGAGTTATTCACAAAAAGCTTTGTGGACCTGCCGACAGAGTGACCTGTAGAGCTGCGGGTCGCTGCTAAAAAGAAAAAGTATTTTCTGTATTTGAAAATACAAAATACTTGTATTCTATTTTGATACATTTATTTGAGGGATATTTTGTATCAAAATACATTTTGATGTATTGTTGCCCATCTCTGATGTCATGTCACATGTATGAAACGCTTGGATCATCATGCTGCATCTTCATAGACACATCCAGGCGCCGTCTCAGCGTCCCGACAGACAAGCCTGCACCTTCCAGGTAGAATAACGACATGAGGGTGAATCCTGACGTCCTACAGACTCCACCCACCCCGTCGTCTCCGTCACAGCTGGATGAAGCTCCATCTTTAAGGTGGAGATGATGAATACAGCCGCAGATTTGGGACAAACCTCCCTCTGCGGCCGAAAGAGGAAGTGACGGAAGTTTTTAATCTTAAACATATTTTATGTTCTTCACATGAAGATTTAATTTGTCCGAACTGTTTGTTTTTATTATTAAAGAAAAATAACTTTATAAACTGAGATTTATAAAAAGCAAATAAAACTTCGTTTGAGACTTAATTTCATTTCATTTCTTTAAGCATCCTTTTTTTCTCTCTGATGTTTCGGAGACGTTCAGTTCCTGTTGTGAACCTTCGGCTCTACGATCAGATGATGCGTTTCCTGCGGGACGATTTGATCTTGAACACTGTGGAACGTCTGAGCGGTTTGTTTGTTGTGGGATTCGTATGAAGCGTCTTCATGACGAACACAACACAGCGTTGCACATGCTCAGTAAGTCCGCATCGGTGCAAACCCGCTGTCGGAGGGTTTTATAATTCGCTTCCTCTCAATAATTGGTTTGGGACGACACATGGGGGGGGAGAGGTTTAAGCAGCAGTGAAAAAACTCAGATTCATCCAAAAAAACTTTATTTGTCCTTTTAAATCAACAAAAACACTAAAATAAAGTTTCACATTCAAAACAGACTGATGGCAGTGCTCGTTTCCATGGCGATGTGATTGGGTGAGGTTGAGACGTTTCATTTCCTGCAACAGTAATCTGGTTGCCGGGCAACACAAAGCAGTGCTGTGCTGATTGGCTGGCAGTGAGAGAGGGGAAAAAAAATCAAAGAGTATGGCAGCCTGAAGAGTCCAAACAGAGGTCAGAGGTCAGTAGGGCTGTTTGTTGATGAATCTGGAGAACATGGCGAAGGCAGCGATCGGTTTATCTGATGGAACCATGTGACCAGAACCCTGCAGGAGTACAGAGGTGAGACAGGTGAGCAGCACAGCCCTGCTCCCAAAATACCTGGATGACATCACAGGGTCAGTGACTGTCAGCAGATGAGGATGAAAGTGTTTACCTTTACAGTGAGGAAGGCGATGTTGTCAAACTCTTTGACGAAGCCTCCGACCTGCCGACCGTCGTCGTCATCATAGACCCACGTACGCCGCTGAACCTCCACCTGAGAGACACGGCAAGGTTAATACACCTGGAGCCGACCTGCCGCCCGACGTCACGCCCGGAGTCTGTCAGGAGCTGACACGTGACACGTGTTCTCACTCCTTCATTAAGAACTGGTCCTGCTGAGCTCTGACAGACGGAAACCGTCACATGATATTAACCTGTCTGGTGGTCTGTGCGTGATGCCTTTAGGGACATGTGTAATTTGTAGGAACAGATAAAAACCTGGGGACATGATAATGAACTGAGTTTCTCAGTAAAGTTGAAAATAAATCTTTTCCTTCTGTTGTATCGACGTCAAGATTGACGCGTCACAGCGGCAGAAAAACTCTGCACTGATAACACTTGATTCAGCATCCATGTGAACAGGTGACACTGTAATCAGATTACAGAAAGAGATCCAACAAAATCTGATCTGATCATCAGTCTGATCCACTTACTGATTATTGATTAACAGATTTAAATCTGGAGTTACCTGCTGGTGCAGAGACTCGACGAACCACTCGTCCCCCATGAAGTTACAGGCCATGTCCACGTCCCCGTTGTAGACCAGGACCCGGTACTTCTGCACAGAGAACACAACAAGAACATGGATAAACAAACCACGCCCACCTGGACACACCAGCCTATCAGCAGCAGAGCTCACATTCGGTCACACCGAGGCATTGACCAGGAAGCCTCAGCAGTCAGAGGAACTCAACTTCCTGTCAGTGTTCTACATTGAAAGCCTTCTGTTCCTGCTCAGAATTTTATTTTGAAGGTCTCTAATATCAAAGTCCTATTTAATATCAGCTGTGAGGGTCCAAAGGACAGAGGGGTGTCGTGTGCTGTGAAACCTCTGAGGCAAACTGTGATTTGTGATATTGGGCTTTAGATTGTTTTTGGGTTTTTTTTTGGGTGGGGCATTTTTAGCCTTTAATGTATAGAACAGACAAGTGTGAAGGAGAGAGGGAGAGACATGCAGCAAAGGGCCACAGGCTGGAGTCGAACCTGGGCCACTGCGGCAGCAGCCTTGTACATGGGGCGCCTGCTCTATCCACTAAGCCACCGACGCCCCGTGATATTGGGCTTTATAAATAACATTGACTGATTTTTGTACATTTTTTGATCGGTGTGACGGGTTCTTCCTGTTCTGTCAACGTGGCGTGAACGCAGCCTGACGCCGTCCTGCTGATCGCAGGTCGTCTGAATCGTTTCAACAGAATTAAAACTTTTACTGGAGACGGAGAACAAAGAATCAACTGGGCTGAAACATTTTAATAAATCAACATGTAAATATGTCACTTCCTATATGAACAAGGCTTTGTGTCACTTCCTGTCACCTGCCCTGAGAGAGGATCCACACGAGACACAGACCTCACCTGTGCTGATGGACATGTCCCTGAGGTTGGGTTAGAGACCTAAAGGACGTTACAATGTTCAGACTGAGATTGGAGGACAGGTGGAGGACAGGTGGAGGACAGGTGGAGTGGAGGACAGGAGGAGGACAGGTGGAGTGGAGGACAGGAGGAGGACAGGTGGAGGATAGGAGGAGGACAGGAGAAGGACAGGTGGAGTGGAGGACAGGTGGAGGACAGGTAGAGTGGAGGACAGGAGGAGGACAGGAGAAGGACAGGTGGAGTGGAGGACAGGAGGAGGACAGGTAGAGTGGAGGACAGGAGGAGGACAGGAGAAGGACAGGTGGAGTGGAGGACAGGAGGAGGACAGGAGAAGGACAGGTGGAGTGGAGGACAGGTGGAGGACAGGTGGAGGATAGGAGGAGGACAGGAGAAGGACAGGTGGAGTGGAGGACAGGTGGAGGACAGGTAGAGTGGAGGACAGGAGGAGGACAGGTATGTTGCGTTCACTGACCAGAGCAGAGAGCAGCTTCAGATATTGTTTCCTGACGTCCAGGTAGAGACGACCATAGTTCAGGTTCACCTCAGAACTGCGACACAGATCAGGGGCGGAGTTACAACTTTATTCAAACATCTGAACAACAACAACAAACACAGATGACGTCGTCACATGAGGTGATCTGTCAGGTGTGTTCAGGTGCGCTCAGGTGCGTTACCTGCAGATGACCCAGTCCAGAGCCTTGGGGCTGATGTGCAGAGCCGCTCTGACGTACGGGTTGTTCAGGTAGAGAGAGGAGGGGGTGGAGTTAGTGCAGGGCGGGTCCAGACGGACGGACAGGTGTTGAGACGCCAGACCTCGTAACTTCTACTCACACACAGAGTAAGAGGAGAA